AAGCTTGAATATCTGTGTTCTTAATATAGGCTGTGCTCATGAGCCGTTAGGCTGGACTGACTCCCCCAATGGTCAAGTCTTGGGGTTGATACGTTTTCATTCCCTACCGGGAGCAGGGGTGGGGTTTGGGATGGGAGCACCCCTTAGGGTAAGTGACCCTAGGCCCTGCTTCCCAAATTCTTGCTGTCTAAGGAGAGAGTAGACAAAGCACATCTCTGCCCTTATTTCTGAGAAGAAGCCAGTTAGGTGAGATCTAGCAGAAAAGTGACCTATGCGTGAGGGTGGGTGGTGTCAGAAGTGGGGCTGGGAGGGAAGTCGTGTCTCAGCAGTGGGACCTATGGAGTGATGTCCCTCTGTCCTGAGGTGTAGCCCCCATTGGGGGGGGGTCCATGGGAACACAGAAATAGTTATTTCCTATGGTGGGAAGGGAGGGCTTCCTGGAGGGGAAGTCTGAGGCCAGGCCCAGTCACCAAGGGCGAGGAGCACACCACAATCATGAGGGTGAGGAGCGTACCACAGTCACAGGGAAGATGATAGATACAGACAGAAGTCACGAGTCTATAGAGCACAAGGCTCCCTGCACTGGGGACCTGAGGTTGTTAGGTTTGCATGCAAAGGAGTCAGTCAGGGCAGCAGGGATGATGTGAGCTTATCAAAGGCTAGTTCCCACTGGGCCCCTGGCATGTGCCGAGGGAAGTGGAACTTTTCCCGAGAGACACAGAGAAAGAGGTCAAAGAGGCGCTCTCATTGGCTCATGCTGTCCCCGATCAAGGGTGAGCAGAGGCAGGAGGACGGAGTGGAGAGAACATGACCCAATCACACAGCATCCAGACAAATCGCCGGGAGCTCTTGCAAGGGGCGGGGGCTCAATGCTCCAGGACCCCTTTCTCCTCAGCACATGTGTGGAGATTCGAGAAGGGCAAAGATGTCAGCACAGATAGCCGTGGTCAAGGCATCTTCCCCTGATCTCATTGCAGGGTGCTCCTGGGAAGCCTGGAGAGCCTGGATCCAAAGGAGAACAGGTAAGTGGGGTTGCACCGCCATTCGAGCACGCTCAAGGTGACCTTCCCGGAGCAGCAAGGCTGGCATTGATTCAGGATAGTTACTAAGCAGCCCAGCTGGACAGCTGCCTATTGCAGCGGCTTCTGCTCCCTGGAAAATCTCGAGTCCCCAACACAGTAGGGCTCTGTCCCCAACATTGTCATAGTCAGTTTTAGTTTTCTCCTTTTTTTCTGGTGGTTATTTTGAGGACTAAAATCATGACCATAATTATCAATGCAAGGCAAGCGTTGGGGGGACTCTTGACAGATTCTCTGCTCACCATGTGTGAAGGCGCATGCATGATGTGCCTGGCTCCTTAAGTGCCAATTTGCTGGGAGCCAGATTTGTCACTGGAGGTGACAAGGGAACAGATTTTCCCATAATGAGGCACCACAGTCAGGCTTTCTTTACATTTCGTTTCTCCAAAAACCAAAGGGGAGAGTCATTTTTCTTGCAGAAGAGCTGGGGTGGGGGTAGGGACTGTCCTCACACTCACACACACTAGCTCTAGCTCCCTCCTGGGCTCTGTGTGGCTGGTTTGCCCACAGCCCTGCGTCTGGTCAGCTGTCAGGCTGTTGCACTACATGGATGGTACCGCGTCCACCACTCCCGCCCCGCTTGTTTTCCATGGTCCTGCAAATAATTTATCTCGGCTTTCTTCACAAGTTGGATGGGTGGGGAGCTGGCAGACTTTTCCGGCAGCTTGGGAAGAGGGAAATGGAAGTGGTCTCTGGCATCCCTCCCTTCCCATCATGCTCTCCTTCTGATGACTTTGATCCCACTGTCCTGTGGCTGTTTTTACTTGAATACTGTAGCCTGTGCTTGGTTATGGCTGAAAAGTTTCCCTCCTCAGGGGCCTTAAGAGCATGAATTCTGGCTCGGAGCCAGAGAGATCAACCCACAGATAGGAAGCTCTTCTCTGATATCCAATCAATAACTGGGGAGCTTGCCTGTCCCCTGCTAAGTGGTTCCATGGAACCTTGCCACTGAGCCCTTAGATTCCTCATTCCTTTGTCCTCATGGGAATGTTTGAGCTAGGGGACAAATCTTCTCCTTGCAACATGATATATGATGATCATTGAATAGAAAAGCTGTACCCTGTGTGAGATGGGGCCTGGCATCCATGTGCCTCAGGAACAGGGTCGTCTATAGACCCCTGACCCCAAGATCACCAGGAACGGTTCCAGGGCCCTGTGAAACATATCACACTTGTAGTACTGAAGTGACTCCCTTGGGGTTTGGCTAAACTGATCTTTAAAATTTATTGCCTTTTGATTATTGTTGAAATTTAAAAGGCAATACAGGGTCCGAGTTAAACAGAAGAAATAACGCACTGGAAGTCAGGTGCCCCTCTGATCTCACCTCATAGCTCCCTTTCTGACACCCAACCCTGAACCCCTAACTTGTTCTTCCAGAGAGGATGAAGGTATTTGGATGTGTAGTAGACATGAAGGGGTGTTTAAGCAAGCACACACGTTTACTTCCTGACCCTAATAGATCTAGCTTTTCCACACCACATTCCTGCTGCTCTTCATTCTAGAGCAGATGTTAGAGATGTTGGTGCCTCATGCTGTCTTCTTTCACAGAAGGTCTGGTCCTGCCCATGACTGAGCCATGCTTCCAGTTACCATTTCTCTTTCTCCTGCCCCACGCTCTCTCTGCTGGGTCATTGTAGTCCAGGCCCCATTGTGCGCTGAGACCTTTAATTCGGCTGTCATGTGTTCAGATCTTCTGAACACTGGGACTTACCAGTCAGACACACATTAATGAATAAGAGAACAGACTGGGTTGCCTGTCCTGAGGTTGCTATGTCCCTAATCACCAATCCAGCACTTGATGATCTGGTTCCGTGAGGGGAGAAAGGGCCCTGGGCAGTGTATACCACAGGTGATCCTGCAGGAGCTGAGGCAAGTGTGATGGGGAAGGCTGGGGAGGGAACAAGCTGTCCTCTGGCCGACTGAGGCAAAGCTGCTCCTGGACTGCCATTTGGTCTCCATCTCCATGACTGGCTGCCTTCTCCAGGGA